CCCAACGAACTAATAGAGCATCTTAGAGCACAGAGCTATGATTGCATTCAGCAGTGAGAGGAGGAGCCGGTTCCGTATCAATGTGCTGCCATTCCGTTTTGTAATTGCTATGATCCAGTTCAAGTGATACCACACGTTCGTATAGACCGATGGGATTCGCTTGTGACCGCAGCCGAGACTATAAATAACGATGCCGTAAATCGTGGTATTGTCCATAAGTGGACCGCCTGTATCGCCCGGGCAGGGATGCTGATCGAGTGTGGCATTCATTTGGCCAGCACACAGCATTTCGGGCTCGTAGTTTTCCAGCAGCGAGCTACAAGTCTTTTGCGTCTGCAACTTAACATCTATGTACAAGATTTTCGCTGGCAAAAAGCCGCCCTGCAAGCAGTGGGATATGGCGTGAGATCAACCAACAACAAACACAATAAGAGACCTAGTAGACTAACGGCATACATGCGACCCCAGCCTAGGACTCTGTACAGCTGTCCAGGGATTGGCGGACTTGTGGGCAACTCGAGTATTCCGATGTGTGGATTCTTTGAGGGCAGGGAAAAGCCCAGCTTCACAAGCGCAATGTTGAAAGTGTGGTAGAGGGTATAGTTGACCGGTACAAAGATCTTTCTTATCGGAATATTGATGGTCTTGCCTCTGAGAACCCTCAGACGGTCCGGGGCTCCTGCCACGATCTGCAGCACTCGRTTGCTATGGGGTATCTTGCGTTCGCTGTTGCAACACAAACTTTCTGTAGGCTCTGATCGTTAGTCAATATAGTCAGCATATTTACGTACTCCATGACGCAGCTTGCAGCAGTCAGTACAAACACTGGCGATATTATCGACCCGCCGCAGTAGTGATTGTCGCCAAAGTGTTTTACCGGCGTGCGCGACCTGAAGGACACCACGTACTTGGTGAGTTTCGTGTATGTTTCAGTATTAAATTCTGGTGAGGAGAGACGCTTTACTCGTCGCACATTCGCCTGAAGGGAGGTGCAGGAGCCAGAAGCTAATAGCCATAGTACGAGTAGCTTCAGCACTGGGGRAAACCACATTTTCCTTCATTCTATATTGTCGAYTGATTGTCACAACTGACGTTGATTGAAAGGGCATATATTTTCGAAAACTATTTGTAACAGCTCATTTGCTTTAGCTTTGTCGTCGTAGACTCTAATTGCATTTAAATTATTCTTAAAATTATGGCTTATCGGAT